TTGACAACCTACAGTATATGCAACTACCACTTTAAACCCTCCCTGCTCTTTTCCAGGTATCTTTATTGTCCATGCTCTTGACTTTTGCCATCCTCATCACAGTGGTCGTGAGAGCTGCTACACTAGGACCACAGATGTATAAAATCCCTCTTCCCATCTGTGTGCATTCATTCACACCGTCCACCATATGCTCGTGTTTGCTGACCGCAGCTCAGGATAATGATTTACCCTTTTAAATACTCATTTCTGAGAAATGATCTCAATGTTTTTTTTTTTAATTTGTTATTTGATTTTCCATCACATTTTTGTCTCTGTGTAACAAGGCGTGACACACTCCAGTGAAACAATACACACGTTTTGTGATGCTTCAGTTCATAAGGAAAACACCTAACCCGTGTGAACCCAGAACAAATATGTGATTTTCACCTAGCAGATGATTAAATAGGCAAAAAAATCACTATAATACTGTTTTCTATAGTATTAGAGTATTAGGGACGTGACTTTTGTGGCATGCTAAAAAATAACTAATCATATTGCATGGGCATGCACAAACATTAAACAATATTTATACAATTAATTCCTAGCTTTATGTGTTTACTTACACTTTTTTTGTCCACAGACCTGCATCAGATGATGCATGGGTGTTTGCACGGTGGAATGCAATTCAGGCAGTTGCTGTCATGTCTTTTGGTGAGGTTTTACATACACCTTTCTTCATCAGTGTGGTCAGAGATGAGCATTCTCAACGTTTTCAATTGAAAAACTTCTCTTTTTTTCAGCTTTTATCTGCCACCATAACAGCTTCATGATCTATGGGTCGCTGCAGGAGCCCACGTTGAGCAGCTGGTCTCTTGTCACGCATGTATCTGTGGGCTCAGCTGTGCTGGTCAGTGTTGTCTTTGCAGCTGCAGGTTATGCAACTTTTACTGGTTATACACAAGGTAAATTGTTGTAAATCCTGGGTCACAATATCGGCACCCATTACTTTGATAAATATGTTATGCACTGAAAGAACCAGAACACGATTACGTTTTCCTGTTGTGTTAAGGTGATATATTTGAGAACTACTGCAGGAATGATAACTTGGCTACATTCGGTCGATTCTGCTACGGTGTCAGTATAATCACCACGTTCCCTCTGGAGTGCTTTGTTACCCGTGAGGTGAGATAATTTAAGCTTTTTATATCGGGTGAATCTTCAGCTAGGGGAACTTGCAAAAAACATTTAAAACACATAAAAACAAAAACATTTATCACGTCCTTATATTTTTCCTTCAGAACCTTCAAGTTGATTTTCCATCATAATCAAATATATATTGTTCTCTATATTACTTGTGATGGGAATGACATCAGTATTGGGGACAGTGATTCTTTGACAAATTAAATTAAAACAAGTAAAATTTATAAACATAAATACCAAACTAATTGAATGTGTCAGGGTTATTATAGTTAACTGAAACTAACTTAAACACCTAAAAAAAACCTAAAACCATAAAATACAATAAAAATAAAGTGAAATAATACATGTGTACCAGTTGTTTATTTATTATATTTCAATTTGGTTTAACTTGATGTAGTTGATTGTTAACTTAAAAAAAAAACACGGGTTTGTATGGTTTGCATATTTGTTTATGTGTACTTATGTAGATGCATGAATGCAAGTTATTTAGTATATATTAGTATTAGTATATATACAAATAGTATATATAGTATATATATTAGTATATATACCATATCTTTTTGTAATTATAGATATTCAGATTATTGATTGATTGTATTGTCTATTTTTGTTATGCATTTTGTCTCAATTTCTGTTGCTCCTATAACACCTTAATTTCCTCTCTTGGATTAATAAAGGAAGTCTAAGTCATAATTAAAAACGAATTTTAAAAAATATATAAAAATCATATCTCAATTACACGAAAATAACACTGGTTCCTATGGCAAAAAACGTATAGCATTTTTATAATTCATTAAAAAAGGAAAGTTAAAATCATTTTTTTGCAACACATTGTCAAAATCTTTAGACATTTGCAGAGCTTTCTGTATGACATTTACACTCATCTTGACTCTTTAATGACAATGCAATGTTTAAAATTAATTTTAAAGTCCGACATACTTAACTTGATTGTTTTAGTATTTGTTTAACTTACTTTAAATTTGTTCCTTGATGGTGTCCAGGTGATTTCCAATGTCTTTTTTAAAGGAGAACTCGGTAACATCGTCCATTTCATCATTACCGTGGTGATCATATCAGCAGCGACTGCCATATCCCTCTCATATGACTGCCTGGGTATTGTACTGGAACTAAATGTGAGTTTTTCTGACAAGATATGTGGTTAGCAACAGTAGTTGATGTTGCTGGTCAGTCACATTCAGAGATGTCTGTAAATCTTGTGTCTGTTTCAGGGTGTTTTGAGTGCTATACCTCTCATGTTCATCTTCCCCGCCGCCTGCTTTCTGAAGCTCTCGGATGACCGCTGGTTTCGTGGGGAAAACCTCATTCCCAGCATCATCCTGGCGGCAGGTGTTTGTGTTATGATAATCGGCTTAGTCATGATGGTGCTCTTCCCTCAGGACTGTTCACACGGAGCAGAGATGTTCTACTGTGCCGTCTCCAACACCTCAGTTCCCAGCACCACTTCACCCAGTGTGCTGCAGTTTATGAACACCACACAGAGTGCCAGCACTTTCTGACTTAAATCTATTTTACTGGAATCATATTATATGCTGTTTTCTAGTGATACATTGTTGTTACAATTGTTATATTAAAGAATGTACATCATAAAAAGGCTACAATATATATTTTACTTAAAAAAAATTGTTATTGTGATTAACTGTCAGTGGCATATTTTCAATATAGGTCTATCTGCATACCCGCCACCACTAATTTTAAGTTAAAGTATACAGTATGTGCATGTTCTAAGTCTTTTCAACCCATACAGTAGCTTGCCTTTATTATAAGGAACAGACCCAAATTTAAATTGATTCACTGATCATTTTTCCTCTTTGAACCTTAGCTAAACGAGGTGTGCCAGTTTGAATTACTGCAATGAAAGAAATTAAGCCTTCACTGCCATAATCAATCTGTTTCATAAACAAAGTAAAAGATAACAATGGAAAGCTGCATATTTGCGAGTTATATGGAGGTGTTTATTGATTTCAGCCACTATTTTGTTGTTGGATTGATTTTTATTAAAAATGTTTTTATTTATTTATTATTATTTAAAGGTATAGTTCACCCAAAAAGGAAGATTCTGTCATAATTTTCTCACCCTCATGTTGCTTTACGGTACAACTGTATGAGTTTATTTGTTTTGTTGAACAAAAAAAAAATATATATATATTTTAAAGGACGTTGGCAACCAAGGTTCTGTTCTACATTTACTTCCATACAGTAGGCTAGTATGAAAACAAAATAATTGGGGACCAGAAACTGTTTAGCCAACATTCTTAAAAATATAATCTTTTGTCTAACCGTAAAAAAAAAACGTATAGGCTACAAAACAACATTTTTTCCTATACGATTGGATATGAAACGCTAGGCCTATTAGTCTCAAGATTATTCAGTTTATTCAAAAACATATTTGAGCTGTCTCCTCAGGATGTTATGGAAATGTTATGGTGACTTTTAGAAAAAGAAGATCCCCCTGTGTTTGTCTGTAGTGTTAGGTTTAATTGGTCAAATAACCTTAGTGTGTGTGGGAAGTGTGGTGTGCTTTGGCTAACCGGAGATACGTTGTGAAACTTGACTCGCAAACAAAATGACTTGAAATTCATAAGCAATTAAATTGAGACTTCATGTCGACCGCAATTTCGCTACTTTGTGAATAATAGGCTATGTAAACATAATAGTTTACCATATAATAGCACGACACTCCAAACGGAGTCTGTCATGTATTTTGACGACCTCTTTGCTTATAAACTCCTGTATTGTCCATAAATGCTTGCTTGACAACAGCTGACTCTGAGCAGTTAATCTGAAAAATATATTGACCCTTTTCAAATTTCCGGTTCTCAGAAGCGGAAGTCGTTTCGTGTTCCCATTTGCTGAAATAGCAAAAGCAAAACTCCACAAAAGTATTTTCACAACTTTCAAAAGGAAGAAAAATATAGAGGGAGAATGATAACGGGTCAGAAGACAGAAAGACGTCAATTTGACTGTCACTCCCACAGACGCCGTGTAAAAACACTCTCACAGCAGCGTTCACTAAGCCTAGGTTGTCATTTGATGCAAGGTAATGTATATTACAAAGTATAATGTTATAAATGAACATACATTAAAAAAGATAAAATATAAATAACTGCAGGATTTACTAAAACGCGTCATCACAGTCGGGGAAAAAGGTCCACGCTAAAAGCACGAGGCCAAAACAAAAGCACGAGACTTTTTTGAGTCTTCTTGACAAACGTGACAACGTCGATTATTTTATTAAATATTTCTCATGGGATATTCTTCAGAAACTCTCCTTTGATGTATGAGCATCTTTTAAACGACATGAGGGTGAGTATAGTGACAAGAAATGTAATCTTGGTGAAGGCGTCTGAATAATAGAGAAATAAATAACGTACTACAGCATTTCTATCACTAGATGTCGCTATTTTGCCATTTTTGGTTCGCCACGTCAAGTGTAGGCTAAATCTAAAATCCTCCATGACCAAATGTAGCCTACTTAATGATCATCCTTTAGTTTACACCATTGGCATGTCAATTAACATTTTAGTAATATATCATAATAATACTTATGAATGAATTATGCTGTGTTTGAGAAGACTGTGGAAGGCTCTCGCATGGCATTACTGTACGTAGGATTATTAGAGCACATTCACTGCTTTGTTGGGACTTTTCTTGTCGGGGGGGACACATACATTTGTAAATCCGGAGTGTGAACAGTCGTGAAGATGGGAGTAACTGTAACTCATCGTGTCATGACTTGAATATGCGAAGTGCCGTCTTCCCTCGGTTAAATAGGAACAGAGGAGCGTCTGTTGACAGGGGGAGGACTTTGGAAAATATGGTGGGAGTTGCAGAATTGTAATGGGGTAACGGGACAGAAGTGGTGCTGGGACCAAGAAGGAGTGCTTTAAGTCTGCTGAAACGCTCCAAAACGTGCTGAAGTTGTTGTTGATGATGGTGTTTTGACGAGACTGATGACAGTTGACAGCCGCGCAAAACTTCAAAGGCGATCAAGGTAACGTTACGTTCGTTGCGTCATTCTCATTCAAACTAGTATGACCGATTTATTCGTGAAGCACAACATGAGTTATGGATACAAAATGCCGAAATTGCTTCCCAGTGATGACTTACTGTAATTTTATTTTTTCTTTTGCTTAAAGTAAGTTGAGTCTGGATATTCGAACTTGGGTGGCACAATCACACCGGCTAATTTGTTAAAAACGAATTCGTTTTTTCAACATTTTTTTTTTTTTTTTTTTTTTTTTTTTTTTTTAGAGAAATAGTATTTCTTTTTATTATATATATATATATATATATATATATATCGTTTTTATAATTGCACGATGATGTTTTTTGACATTTTCTTGACAGTTGACAGCTGCCTGTTTCATATAAAATTAGTTTTCAAAATGTTATTTTCCATAAGACAAAACTGCAGGGGAATCACTGGCCGATTAGTTAATTTGCAAGTTTTTGGTTAAATAATAATATTATGTTGAGGTGTATATTATTCACGTTTGAACCACATCACTAGACTAAATTGGATTTTTTAAATTTTATTTTTTATTTAACAGTCAGACATACATACAAACAAACCAACATAGTGCAGTAGTGAGCAATCTTGTAAATCCATAATTCCAGCAGTGACAAGAGTGTTTGATCTAAGTGTGTATGTGAGCGGGTGTGAGTGTGGGTATGTGTGTGTGTGTGTATGCGTAAACATAGTAACCATTTATTATTTATTACCATTGTCATTACAATAACCATCCCACTCCCCAAAAAATTGGATTTCTAAAATGGACTAAAAATGGATTTCTTTGTGACAGCCAGTAAATATCCTCCTCGGGAACACACAAAAAAATCAAAAATAAATCAAACTTCCTAAGCTGGTTTGCTGGTCTGGAGTGGTTTAAGCTGGTCTTCCAGCTAAAACCAGCCCATAGACCCAAGTTGGGAGAGCAGCAAACCAGCTAGTCTGGTTTAAGTTGAAGATGTTTGTTTTTTCAACAAGGGAACCTGCCCATTATTGACAATTCGGCATGAAGAACCACCTTCTCCAAAACTGACTCGTCGAGTTTAACCTCTTAATCTGTCAGCACTCCCTTTGAGCCACGAGTGAGTAGTGTTTGCTTTCTGTTCCTCAGTGCCAGGGTCAGAGCCATGCAGGCCGCGGCAGGGATGGATGGCAACGCGCACAGCCGACCGCCTGACCGAAGGTACACCGTAAGCAGATTTACTCCTTAACTCTGGGTTTGAGTATTTGTGTTGTTTATCTTTGAATATGCTTGTTTGTCTCGATATCTTCGATTTTTTTTTTTCATTACAATGGCGTGCAATTGTAAGACTGGAAAAACTGGTTAAAGAGAAAATATCTGACCAGTGGCCTCTAAAGACAAAAGGCATTGCTTGCAAATTAACATTTGACACCCTACCCCCTATTCTCTGAACATCTTATCTGCATCTTCTCTCTTTCACTCTCTCAGTCAATGATACTGAAAACTCACACAAGAATATGGTTTTAATCTGAATCAGATAATCTTTAAGGATTGTTTAGAATCATTTTGATGGTCTCAGGGTGACTGGTAATAATGTCTCATTCCCAAAGTAATAAAAGAAAAGGTAATAAGGTTTTTAAGAAGTTTAGGAATCACAGGTATAGGTCTGGCTATGTAAAGGGTGCAGCGGGAGAGTTCGAGGCTGCTTTCTGTATTCAGATCAGCCGTGATGTTGTGTCTTCAAGGCTCAGCTCATGTAATATGTTGGGTAAAGTTCTTTGTTCTTTGAAACATTTAATGGTTTGCTCTGATTATCTTGTGGAATTCTAATGATACATTTACCTGACATAATAAATTGTTATATTTGGCTATTCTAACAGACTTTGACTTTATTTTCATTAGAGTTAAAAGGAATAGTCAAGTATTAACGTATTTAATGATGCACAGATATCATTGATAAACCCTTTTCATTTTATGGAGTCAGATGAAACGAGTTAATAGATTAAATGTATTGCATTTAATTAAAAAACACTTTGCTTGGAAAAGACGGAACGCGCTTGAAACCTTCACCACGAATCGAATTCCGCAATTTGGGTCGATTTCGTGGCCCTTTTTACACAATCAATGTAGGTTAAGAGTTTCCTCTAAAGTTTTGACATCAAACAGATTTTTAATGTTATTAAATATGTTTGTGCTGTTCAACATGATGTCACTTCCTTGAGGATGATGTCATCAACTAGCTTTTGTTAGTAAAAGGTATTCTGCTGAACTAGGCTATGAATTGATTATCGATAAAAACATTTTGCATTACAAGCACAGTTGTGTACAGTAAGTGTGGATATTTGAGTCTGTAGGAAAGTGTAATGAAAGATTGTAATACTAATGCATGTGTGTTTGTTTTTCCGTATTGTGGATTTAAAGATTATGGGGGGAAAGTTAGTACAATTTTTCCTGCAAGATTTTCCAGTTTTCAAGCATTCATTGCACATGCATAATGTGACATCTGGCATAAGCGATTTTATGTACAGTAGAAATAAATGTATGAATGCAATACATTGGACAGGATTGACATTTGTGTGATCTGTCACTGTAGACTGGGCTGTTTATGAGTGAAGATTTAGACATTGTGTGCTTGTTTATAAGACAGTCTCTGTTGTCGCAGGCATTGCCTCGACCTTTGACTTCGTGCATTTCCGGCCTGCAGAGCAGAGCTGAGAAACGCTCTTGGACACATGTGGAGGTCATGGGAAATGAACTTTAGGGGAGGGGGAGTGAGTCTCTTGCAAAATTCTCCTGGTTAATTTCTTTGCTGGGGAAATGAGGATGTAATTGCATTTGTTACTTTACTGGACAAGAGTCGTCTAGCGAAGAACAGGGTCTACCGTTTTCATTTCCTTCTTAGATAAGACTGGAGATTACTGGAAAAATGGTTGCTGCAGTTTGTTAATTTGACCTCGGAACGAAATTGTAGTTATCTGGTGTAATAATCCATCACCCTAGCAACCACCAGAACACCCTAGCAACACCATAGCAACCACCCAGATCACCCTAGCAACTTCCTAGCAACACCATAGCAACCACCTAGAACACCTTAGCAACTGCCTAGCAACACCATAGCAAACACCCAGAACACCTTAGCAACTGCCTAGCAACACCCTAGCAACAACCCAGAACACCCTAGCAACAGCCTAGAAATCCCCTAGTAACCACCCAGAACACCCTAGCAACCGCCTAGCAACACCCTAGCAACCACCCAGAACACCCTAGCAACTGCCTAGCAACACCCTAGTAACCACCCAGAACACCCTAGCAACCGCCTAGCAACACCATAGCAAGCACCCAGATCACCCTAGCAACTGCCTAGCACCACCATAGCAACCACCCAGAACACCCTAGCAACCGCCTAGCAACCACCCAGAACACCATAGCAACCGCCTAGCAACACCATAGCAACCACCCAGATCACCCTAGCAACCACCATAGTATCTATCTATCTATCTATCTATCTATCTATCTATCTATCTATCTATCTATCCAAAATACCTTAGCAACCCACTAGAAACACCCATAGCAACTTTAAATTACTTTAAACTACTTTAAACTAATTTAAACAAGAAACTACTTTAAACTAAGTTAAACTTTAAATTAATTTAAACTTTAGACTAATTTAAACTTCAAACTACTTTAAACTTCTTCAAACTACTTTAAACTTCTTCAAACTACTTTAAACTTCTTCAAACTTTCTGTACCAAACTTTCACAAGCCAACTTAAAGTTTGTCTCGACGAACTTTTTAATCTAGTTGCATTTGTTACTTTACTGGACAAGAGTCGTCTAGCGAAGAACAGGGTCTACCGTTTTCATTTCCCTCTTAGATAAGACTGGAGATTACTGGAAAAATGGTTGCTGCAGTTTGTTAATTTGACCTCGGAGCGAAATTGTAGTTATCTGGTGTAATAATCCATGTCTGTGGGGGCAATACTACAGTCTCAGAATCAGAAGACTAGGACGTTTAAAATACACAAACCAGACACAGAACTGGTCCCTGAAAACCACATGAGGCCGATTAGCTGTCTGTATCATGAGTGAGGAGATCTCCATGTGCATTAGCGTCAAATATGATCTTTATTAACACACTTTAAGTAAGACTTTGGAAATTTGTGCTCCACGGGTTCAGATTTAGCTAGCAAAGGATGATGTCAGCTGAGAGCTTTCCAATGGCTGGAAGCATTTTCTATGAAATCGGAGAGATATTTTCCAGCACGTTCTCATGACTCTCTTTTTCTGCATTAATATATCTCTCTCACACACACACACGTTACCTCTCCCACGATGCTATGAGCACATCCCTGCGCTATTGTGATTTGAATCAGAGGTGTGTGTGATATTTTGAAGGGTTTTTTTTATATTTGAGCTTTGATTTTGCACCCAGCATCATTTGATTCGTGTTGTCGGTGGGGGTTTACAGTGGGAACGTTTTGTTGGGTTTAACAGCGTGACTCTTAACCACACAGAAGTTGTTGTGTAATTCGGGAGCTGGATTCTGGTTTCTCTGGCACTGCAGGGCATCAGGCCATCAACCGTCGTACAGTATGTCTGTGGTGCAACTCTGTTTAGAAATCCAAAATTTCCAGCCTTTTGCCAAGTTACACAATTGATTTGCACTGTTTTTACATGAGGTGTCCAAAAAACATGAGTTTGATTTCACTCTATTCCCCTGCAGGTCTCTTTGCACGTTGTATTTTTGGGGTCTGCATCGGTCTGGCTAAAAATATAGTTTTTCAGTCAATCGCAATCTCCATTTGAAACCATGAAACACAACCAGTGTTGTCTGATTCACGAATGCATTATTTAATTTTCATATAAAATAGTTAAAAAAAAACAATTTTTATTGTTTATACTTTAACCCTTATGCTGCATTAGGGACATTTTTGGTCTTTTGCAGTTTAATTTCTTTGACCATTTTGGCTGTTTTAATGCAAATGGTATGAAATTTGGCAAAATTGTGACTTTTTGGATACATGTAAAAAATGTGATCCCATTTTGCAAAATATGTATAACACACACTGTGTAGATCAAATAGTAACACTCAGCACCATAAAGACCAAAAATGGCCCATTGAAACCCATTAAAACGTTGTTTAAATCTGAGGCTGTCAGTAATACATGAAACATGATTTTTGCACAAACATCCTTTCATTTTGAAGCAAAAGCATTATATTTGCATTATATAGTGTATTCCACCAGATGACGTCACTGCATATTTATTCCCTATGGGTGGAAATGCACCTTATTTTAGGCAATAGGCAATGTTTAATAGGTGGCCATTTTTGGTCTCTAACGCGCTAAGTGGGATTTTTTGCAAAGTGGGACTGTGATAATCCAAATCTAAAGTTTTCTCTTTGCAATTGAATTTTTGTGTTTTTTCCTCTTATACAAATCGATGGTTTCGCAAACAAAACTGGTAATTTTTGGTAGTTATGATGAGGACTGATGCTGGTTAAAAGATTTAACTTGGTAAAAGTGGAAAATAATAATAATATATAATATTTTAGGCAATGTTTAATATGTGGCCATTTTTGGTCCTTAATGCACTCAACGGTGTTAAAAATCTAATGCAGCACAAGGGTTAAATATGGCATAGTGTACTGTGAATATTGTTGGTTCCTACGACAAAAAAGATGAGTTAAAAGACGTCTGATAAATGAATAAATTATGTAATTAAAAATTTTATACTCCATGGTTGTACTAAAGAAACGTTAGTCACAAAAACAGATAACAGACACCCCTCGTTGTGTTTATGCTTCTTTTTAAAATTATAGTAAATAAACATAACTATATATAAAATTACATCTAAACGTATGTACGTTTCGTTTCAAAGACGGGAGGACAGTAAATTATGAAGACTCTGCCATAATCCCGTTTTCCTCCGCTTTAAACTCCCCAACCGGAAATGGACGAGCATCCTTGCGTCAAATGTGGAATTTATGCGTGCATATAGCCCATTAAACACTGCCTAAGCAGTGAGATTGTATTTGTATAAGAATAAAGAAGCAAAATGGACTTTACAACTGACAAATACTCAAATAAATCAGAATTGAGTCCCGGTGCAAGACACTTAACCCCTAGTTGCTCCAGAGGCGTGCAACCTCTGACATATATAGCAGTTGTAAGTCGCTTTAGATAAAAGCGTCAGCTAAATAAATAAATCTAAATAGAATCA